TCTCTAGCCTTATCAACAAGAAGAATATCATCAACAAAAAGCATAAACCAGGTACAACCTCTTGCAAATGTCTATGACTGTTGACCTGTATCATATACCCAAAAGAACAAAAGAAAGAGGAAGCCAAAATTCAACGTACATGCCTGTAAACCATCGGATCCACGAACTCAGATGCATCGATGCTAACACGCGAATCCCACCAGAAATCGCGGAAACCTCGTATCTGTCGAAGGCATCCCCGAAATCCCGCTGAATCGGTGTGCAGTCGGCGCCGTTCCGGAAATCTTGCGCAAAATATGCGATCTTCTCCTCGATCGAGCCCCGTTCGCCTCTTTAAATACCAAGCCCAAGCTCCCATTGTGGCTGCTCTACTCGTTCCATACACGCAAGGCTCTCGGCTCTTCTCCTTCCACGAGCTCCCCGATCTCCCTCCTCCGATCCCAAGCTCCCCTTCCGTCCAGAAAGAGAGAGAGAGAGAGAGAGAGAGAGAGAGAGATAGAAAACCCTTACCTTACGCCGATCCTCTGCCGTTCGCACCTATCCCGATCTCCCTTGCTCTCTATCCGACCCACCTCACGCCGACGCCAAGCCCCTTTGCCCTAGCCTCTCCCTCTGCCTTACTCCTTCAGCGACATCTTCTTCCTGTAGGATCGGAAGTTAGTTCATTTTGATCGGAAGTAACCGCAGGGACTCGCTGGCTTGAAGGTAACCATCTCCCTCTCGCGCACTTCTCACCATAATCATTTATAATTAATTTATTTTAATTATGAATGATTATTTTATATTATTATTTATTTAATAATTATTAGTAATTAAACATAATTAGTTAAATTAATTATATTTTAAATATTTAATCATAATTAAATAATAATGATTATAATTAGTTATAATTAAATTTAATTATAACTAATCCCTTTTTAAAAAATAAAATAAAAATCCTCCCCTCCACTCTCTTACCTCGACATTCGTGTTGGACCGGCAAACCACCTAAGCACGCCTTTGTTGGCCGTGGTAGGAGGGAACCCGGTGCGACACCTACAATGAGGTAGGCAAGTGACCCCTCGATCCACGTGTCAACCACGACAACCCCGCGGAGGTATGAATCTTTCTAAACTTAAAACTCTACTTCAATATTCGTGGCAAATCGGAGAACTGCCCTAAGCACGCCTTTGTTGGCTGTGGTAGGATGGAACCCCGGTGCGGCACGTGTGGCGAAGCGGGGTCACTTATAAGTACCCCCAAGCGGGGGGAAAGCAAACTGTCCACTTTTCAAATAAAACGCTTTTTAAAACCCCATGCACGCCTTTGTTGGCCGTGGTGGGAGAAAAACAAAAAAAATGCTGTCGCGGTGTCTCAACAACACTAACCGTGCACGTCTTTGTTGACGTGGCGGGTAGGCGGCCTCTTGGTTTTTCCCCTAAACGGGGGAGACGCCGGAAGACTGCCGAAATTTGGATTGAAAATCCAAGGACTTGGAGCAATTTGGGACTTGGACTTGATTGAACTCAGAAGAACGACATATTACTTGTACTTGGACTCTTGAACAAAATATAAATGACTTAATAAAGAGTTGAACCCAAGTAAAATGGATATGAACTTCGACTTGCAAGGTGAACTTTGACATTGGACTCAAAACTTGTGGACATCGAACTTGAACAAGACATGGACCCAAGAGAACTTAATTGAACTCAAACCTAAATGAATCATAACTTAAGCATAACTCAATGAACATGGAGGACTTGTGTAAGACTTGAGTTGGACTCAAGCTGAATTGAACTCATTCTTGAACTTGAAAATGACATTGAGCTCAAACTTGAACTCAAGAGAACTTGGCATTGAATAATAAGATGAACTTGAAATTCACTTAAACTTGAATATGGCATAGCAAATTATGTTTGGACTTTGATTTGAATATGGTTTGAACTCAAAGGATCACAAGGAACTTGAGTAAGTAAATTCTAAGTCATCCTATGACATGTACTCCAATGAATACCAAATGGATAAATAAGGGATCCATGTATTCCAACTTAGCATATTTATGCTTCTATCTCAATCAAGTATGTGGATAATTTGGAGTTATTGCAATGACATGCTTACATTCAACAATACAATATCTTCAATGAGTGATAAGAAATTGTTATTTCATTTGAGAGATAAATGTAATTCAATGCTTAGAATGAGACTTGTAATTTGGCAAGATGATAAAGTCAATCATGCAAGCAAGGATCATGAAGAGAATACAATGATCATGATGGAAATATAATGACATGCCAGAGGCTAAGAAGTGATCATCCCAAATGGAAGTGAAATGTTAATGACCAATGGTATCAACATTCAACATACATGTTATAGTCCCTCCTATAAGCATGATCTCATTTCTAATTGACGAAAAATTGTGAAGAATATAATGTGACTACAAAATCATGATGGAAATATAATGACATGCCAGAGGCCAACGATACAAAGTTTTCATTCACTATCGAGAGATTAACATATAAACTAGATGAAATGTGCACAAATGAATGCAATAGAATCTTCATCATCAACAACAATTCAACATACAAGAATGAAGTATATACAATCTTGCAAACTATAAAGTTGAAATTGGACATCAGTTTGTACAACAATCATGCAAGAAGATACAACACTCCATACATCCAATGTGTCATTTATAAATGACTATAAGAAACTAGTCATAATAAAATCCAAGTTGCTCAGGAATGAGGATTGAAGATCTGAAATACATACAAATCCTCTACGAATACAGATGTATGTATAACATGCCATCTATGGGTAGATGCAGAAAGACTTCAGTAAATGCAATATCCTGAAGTCAATTTCAGTCTATGAAGAAATACATCTACCTACCTAGATGCAGCAGTAGCGGATGTACTGAAAAGATCAAAAATCACAACAAAATGCATGAAGAATATGATAAGTATGAGCTCATACGATCACAAGGCAGGAGATTAGTTAGTGCACTATGATCCGCCTACAAAAATCAACAAATAGTGCACGACAGTCTACCTGTACGAAGCAGCGAACAATTCTATCCAGAAGCTGCTACGCCACGCCACCGGATCTGCAACATTCATACAAGCAGACAGAAGGCGTCTTATTCCAAGAGATACCACCGCACTGCATCGTAGTTTGTAACATCAATAGGTTCACTAAGGGGAAAAATATATTCAATACCTCCGCAATGGGGCCCGGCGAGCGTGGTTATTGTACACACGTGACGTCTAGGGACTGTGCCGGGTGTTACAAGCTGAAATTCAGTTCGAAACTGATCCTCATCTATATGGTCAATAGGAAGTCGAAGCAGGGTTTAGAACTTAAACAAATATACTGGCCTACGACCAGATTATATTTGTCTTTAGATACATTCTATTAGGCTTTCAGAAGCCTACCAATATCAAGAATGTTCACTTTATAAAGGTATTAAGCCTGATAAACCGATCTCTGGATAGCCACGACAAGTATGACAGGTTAACTTACAATAAAAAGAAATTGACCTGTATCACCCCGATTGATGCCCCGTGTGAATGAGATCTCAACCGGAGGGGATTCAAATATTTTCAATTGTCTCCCAAAGTCCATTAGAAACACTTTCAAGCTCCACCAAAATCCAGAAAAATCCAAAAAACTCACAGAAATATCAAAAATTCAAAACATCTCAAATATTCCCAAAATTCTCCAAAATAATATTTAAAATTGGAAATTAATCCCAACCACTTAAAACAAATATTCCCCCTCCTCCCTCGCTCCCCCCCCGCTCCCCGCCCCCACCACTTCCCCCCACCATACCCTCCGCACAGTTTTGCCGGAGGTTGGACCAAAAAAAAATTAAAAACTACTTCGCCACAAAAGATGCTTCAAATGTCCTATGTCGAAAATATCACTAGGATCATTTCTCAAGACAATCTTCTTGCTAGTAAGGACGTGGTCGTGTCCTCTCTAACCGGCGGTTTTTGCCGCCAAATGGCACGCAGGATAACGTTATGACCCGGGGCCCTCTGGACCGAGTGGTTTTGCCGCCAAATGGGCACCACGAAATACCGGTTTATGGCCAGCGCCGTTACGTTCCTTAATTGCATCAAATCTTGAATATAAATAATAGGATATGTCGATAGGCACGAAGGGCCCTCCTGTCAGCTAAGGTGGGGTTCAAATTGTCCCCTAGACAAACATTCAACCCCGGTCTACAAGGTTCCCTTGGACGAAGCAACCCATGGCCTTGCCGACAAGGATTGCCTTCTGTCAGTTGGGTCGACTACCTCCTCTGACTAAGTAGACGCAGGGACACGATGGCGCGTGGATGACGGAACCATGGGATTCTGATCGGGTCCATCATCATTCCCCCATACCATCCGCTTTAAGTTGAGATGATACAATTTTCAAGCTTTAAATATCAAAACTATCCCCAAATTCCCAAATCCAAAGTCCAGTTCTCAAATACCCAATTCAACCCTAAATTCCAAATATTCAATGCTTTCCAATTCCAAATCATTGCTGTACTATATGCCAGATACATGTATTTTCTATACATATGTGATTGATGACTAGCCTTAATCGAAAGTTCTCTCTCGTGATCGGGAGGGGTAATTAACTATAGGGGCTTGCGCCTATAGGAAACCAGAACTCAGATCATAAAGTCCTCACAAAATGAGGGCGAAATCTCTAGGTAGTGTCTTATCTACAAACCCATCTGCCTTCCAAAATTTACCCCGGAACTTATTCCGTTAAAACTCCTCTCGCCTAAGTAAATGCAATCAAGCTGCGCGGCGGGGAGGCCGGGGCCGAATTTTTGGAGCCCACAATGACATACCAAAGAAATTTGCTTCACATCACAATAATTGATTTGCACCTAAAAAAATCACTATTACTAAATGTCCTATCAAAATAAACTCCTAGTGAAGTGCAGCATTTTTAAAAAATATAATCATGAAAAATACAACAAAAATTTACAAAATTTGTTTGTAAAATTAAGAACAACATACCCGCAATCTGCTTGATCTCCGGTATCGTGAGTTCTCGGGTAGAAACACCATCAAATTTTTTTAGCGTAGAAAAGATAATCCTAGAAATATTCAGATTAAGGCCCATTCCAATAGCATCACTGGCTACTAGAACATCGAACTCACTGCTTTCATCGTTAAACATTGTAGCCTGCAAGCTTAGAAAAGCAAATTCATTTAGCCAGCAGGTGATATATCTCGATAAGCATAGAATTTATATTAAGCAGTACTTCTCTAGAGAAAGCAAATAGAAAAAGATGGTTATGAAAGCAAAAGACAGCTAACAACAAAGAATTGAATTGAAAAGTGCAGCAAGGCTGACAAAGCAAAGAATATAGAGATCATAAATAGAATGACAATTTAGCAACAGCAGAGAATAGGTCACGTATAAGTGACAATTGAAATGAGGGTTTCTACAATCACCTATACAACAAGCAATAAAGCATAAAAAATTAAGATGACATATTTAGTAAGCAAGAACAGAGAATACGTCATCCATCTCAGGGTGCAATGAGTAAATCCAGTACAAAAAAAAAAAAAAGTAAAGAAAATAATACTATAAAACTGGCTCCACATATATTGAACTTTATAATGTAAACAATTAGATTTAGCTGGCAAAAGTTCCAATTCAAAACAAGATACCATAAATGTATCCATGAACAGGAATAAGGGTACCATAAGGTTAATTAGCATGACATAAGATAAACCAAATTATAATAGTAAAAGTGGGAATCATAACAATTTTCAATTGCCTTAATTTTTATAATTTATCAGAACTCGTATCTTGCCTTATGATTAATTAGGGGGCATGGCATAACTTATAATGAGTCAAACCATTACTAAAATAAGAAACTAAAAAACATACGGTTCTAGTGATTCAGTAAAAAAGAATAATAGTTGCATAGCAGGAATTAAACATGAATTTTCAAAGAATTTCAATATTTTTTATCTTATTGACTAGTAAGTAGGAACATATTTTATAGAGCTGCAACTTGCAATAAGCATTTTAATCAAAGATGAAATAGAACTGAATATTTTACTCTTTTTTTATTATGAAGAAAAAGGAATGTGCCGCATCCTTTCCCTTTGACTATTGACTGTTGCATTTTTTCTATTAGTTATGAGAATATTTTGGATGGAAGGATCAAACACTGAAGACAGCTTTCACGCTACTACGAGGGAAATAAACTTTCTTAAAAGCGCAGAATTTGGTGTCAGTACTATGGAATTTAACTTCCTTAAAAAAAATTGTTGTTTGTTTCGATAAACAATTTCCTTCAAAACAAAACAAACAAAAAAAGTACCTGCTTGGTTCGTGTTTCTGGCGGTAATGACCCATAGACTACAGAACATAGGTGTTTTCCTTCTTTTTCTATTTTTTTCTGAAGTTAAGAAAAAAAAAAAAGTGAAAGGGCTTGTAAGAGACAAAACATAAAAAAAAAAAGTTTTAAAAGAAAACAAATAGACGTTAGAAAAAAAAAAGTGTTGTGAGCTTTGAACAACATAAGCGCACACCTGTGTAGTAGGTTGGACAATTCTATTTTGTTTGAAAACCATTCATGCGAATGTGATTATTTGAGATATGTATGGGTCTGATGTAGTAGCAGTTCACATGAATGCAACATCTTAAAAACACGTATGTGATTTTGTATTTTGAGTTTATTATTGGCCGGGTTTAATCCGCGTGTGCTTATATTATGGATTTATTTGTGAATGCCACGAGTTGGATTCTCTTGCGTGCATGTAACTTGCATTTACTCAGGTGGGCCCCATAGGGATTCATTCCTCTATCGATAAATATGATCTCACTCAAGTTCTTTTTCATTCTGAGTTCAATTGGCATAGCGTATTCTTAAAGTTTGTAAGTGTTTGGGAGAGTTCTTAATAATAGTGAAGAGGTTATATGCTCGCAAGCAAGCTTTAAAGTTTATTGCGAGTCCCCTATAAGTTTTGTTTTAGTCCAGTGCTAATGTTCAATTTTGGTCCTTGTAGTTCATTTGATCCAATGTGTTTGATTCACTCCTCACACCTCCACTGTCTAGCCGATCCCAGGGAGGTGGGAGCACTACCCGATCCTCGTCTGATCCCCCCATCCTGATGTTAGAAGTAAGCCTCTCACTCCATATACCCCTCGGTCCAACCCCGAGACCAAGTCCTTTAGATGCCAGGGGTATGGGCATATCACTTCTCAGTGTTCTAGTCCCTACAAAGTCAAGATTATCGAAGAGATCACTGAAGAAGAATTTGATCCCGAAGTCGACCAGATTCACCAAGTGGAAGGCGATGGTGAATTCTTTGAGGAGGATGACGACACTCCTGTCATCCAGCAGCACATTCAGAAAGTTGACACTTCTCCCACCTGCATTCTGAGATGTGCACTATCACAACCCGTTTCCACCGACGACTGGCGTAGGACTACGATCTTTCACACCACCAAAATCAAGGATAAAAACTGTAAAGTCGTCGTAAATAGTGGCAGCTGCATCAATGTTGTCTCCTCCAGCATGGTGTCCAAAACTTGGCCTGTCTGTCGTTCCTCAACCCAACCTCTATAAGGTAGCTTGGGTCAACACCACTGCCTTGGAGGTAAATGAATGAAGCTTCATACATATCTCCTTCGTTGACTATAAGGAGAATGTTTGGTGTTATGTGTTGATTGTGAATGTTGGACAAATCATTCTAGGTCGTCTCTGGCTATTTGACAATGATGTCCACATCTATGGGCGTTCAAATACCTGCATGTTTGAACATGAGGGCAAAAATATCAAGCTTTTATCATCACAGTCTCGGGTTACGGATGATCCTAAATCCAACCCGGTCAAATCAAAGAAGGGACTGAACTTGATAACCATCATGGTTCTGGATTCTGAAATAGCCCAAAGCGCACCCCTCTACGCCTTAGTCGGTCGTGAGACTTCCACTAAGTCTGACGAACCAGTCCCTCAGAAGGTTCAGCCCATACTTAGTAAGCTTGTTTATAGTCTTATGGTTTTGTCTTATTGTTTAAAATTAATAAAAGTTTTGCTTATTATTATTCTCTAAATTTAAAACGTGCAAAATTCGTATTCCAATCATTTTTGCATTTGTCCTGCATCAGTGTATATGTTTGACGTTTGCAATATTTTTGCGTTATGCTAGAACAACGTGCACGAGTACAAAAAAATTGAATTTCTCAGTAGTCCTCATAAAAGTGCATGCAGGGTTTACTTGATGTGTCTCGAGCGTCGCCTATGAGTTTCCTCCGTTGCAATAAGAAAAGCATCAACGGGTTCCACACGTCACGCTACATGCATCACAATTTGGATTTTTACAGTTTTGTGAGCTTATATCTTCGCACATGAGGCAATGACAACGAGCGCACAGTGAGTTGACGAGGTCGATTTCACAAGTTTTTTTTCTTTTTTTTTTCCTTTTTTCTTCTTTTTTCCTTTTTTGTTTGTTTTATCTCTTTTTAGAGAGAGAAAGAGGGAAAGAGAGGTAGAGAGAGTGTGTGAGAGATGGAGAGAAAGAGAGAGGAAGAAATAAAAAAGGAAGAGGGAGAAAGTGAGTGAGAGATAGAGAGATAAAAGGAGAGGGAGAGAGATAGAGAAAGAGAGATGGAGAAATAGAGAGAAAGAGAGGGAGAGATAGAGAGAGAAAGAGAGGGAGAGAGAGAGCGCTAAAGAGATGGAGAATGGGAAATAAAGACAGAGAGAAACATAGAGTAAGAGAGAGGAAAAAGGGATTCGAACTGCAATTTATATATATCTATATATATAGTTTCATTGCAGTCATTTAATTGTTCTAATAGTGTATCTTATTTTATTTTATTTTAATGTATATTTGTTTTCATATTCGTTTATTGATTATCTAAAAATTTGTAGTTTTACCCCACGTAGTGGGATAAAGGCTTGATGTTATTGTTGTTGTTGTATATTTGTTTCCCTAACAATCTTTTGTAAATTTTAACTATCCTTAGTCTCTTCGAATACCATCTATTTTATGTTCTTCTAATTCTTCTATGATAATCACCTTAGTGGAATTACTTAACATTTGGCTAATTAGATTTAATTGTACCACATTCTAAAGGATACTTTTTTTCAAATAACATTGAACATATAATCACTTGAGCTACAAACAACTCTAAAAGCCAACAGTGCAGAGTATTCACACTACTCATGATTCATGCAATTTCATGCTATGTTGTCTAACATGGATTGCTGAGACATGACATTATTATCCTATCCTTCTGACATACATTGATCACTCTTTTTATACATATCCTTGCAATATATATATATATATATATTTTAAATATCAAACTTTTCAAATCTTTCCAAATTCCCAAATCCAAATCCAATTCCAAATCCAAATTCATATTGCTACTATATGCCAGATAACACGTATTCTCTACGTATCTGATTGACGACTAGCCTTAATCGAAAGTTCTCTCTCGTGATCAAGAGAGGTAATTAACTATAGGGGCTTGCACCTATAGGAAACCAGAACTCATATCATAAAGTCCTCACAAAATGAGGGCGAAATCTCTGGGTAGTGTCTTATCTACAAACCCATCTGCCTTGCAAAATTTACCCCGGAACTTAATTCCGTTAAAACTCCCCCTCGCTCAAATAAAAAGAAAAAGCGCGGCGGGGAGGACAGAGCCGAATTTTCGGAGCCCACAAGAAGCTTACAATTTCCCGTAAAGCATGCAATTACTTTAAAACCTTATAAACTCCTTTTAAAATTAAATTCACTACAACAACAACAAGCCTTTATCCCACTACGTGGGGTCGGCCACATGAATCCTTTTTCTCTATTGTGTCCGGTTAAGAGTCAAATTCTCATTTAGATCTAATAAAGAAATATCATTTATAATATTTTCTAATCAAGTATTTTTAGGTCTACCTCTACCTTTCGTAACATAGGTTAAATCTAATAAATATACTCTTCTAATCGGGTCATTAGAAGGCCGCCATTTTATGTGACCAAACTATCTAAGGAAACTCTCTCTAATCTTATCTGTCATTGGAGCTACTCCAACATTTTCATGTATATGCTCATTTCATATCCTATTTCTAAAAGTAAAGCCACTCATCCATCTGAGCATCCTCATCTCTACAACACTTAACTTAATATTATGCTTATATTTTAATGGCCAACATTCTGCGCCATAAAACATTATAGGTCTAACCACCATCTTATAGAATTTTCCCCTAAGTTTGAGTGGTACTTTTCTATCACACAAAGAGCCTGATGCATTCCTCCACTTCATTCAGCCAATTTGAATTCTACTAATAATATCCTCATCTATTTCACCATCACTTTGAACAATAAACCCAAGATATCTAAAATGTGCACTCTTATCAATGACTTGATCGCTCAAAGTCACAAACCCCCCACTAGATCTATTACTACTAAAATTATACTCCATGTATTCAGTTTTAGATCTACTCAAACGAAAACCTTTAGACTCTAAGGTTGACCTCCATAATTCAAGTTTATCTTTAACTCTCTTTTTAGTCTTATCAACAAGAAGAATATCATCAGCAAAAAGCATACACCATGGAACATCCTCTTGCAAATCTCTAGTAAGACATCCATGACTAAAGCAAAAAGATATGAGTTTAAGGATGATCCTTGATGTAATCCAACTGAAATTGGAAAATACTTGGTCAAACCACCTTGTGTTTGAACACAAATAACAGCTCCAGCATACATATCCCTAATGACTTGAATATAAGCATTATTAATCTCTTTATTCTTTAGAAATCTCCACAGCACTTCTCTTGGAACTTCAAAATTAAATTCACTAATTGATAATTACGCTCATAAGTGGGTTACTCTGCTTATAGGGGAGAATCGTAATCCTCACATTTCAAGTTCAATATCACTCCCTGCACAAACTAGAGTCAACAAGACTTGAATTTCAAGAAAGAAGCCAAAATTACAAGTTATAAATGGCTCACCATGAATCTTACTCCCATGAATAAAAAAACAATTGTAAAATCCATAGAGATGCTTAGTTTTACATTCACATTAGGCATTTAATGTCATTTACTAAGAAAATTCATTATAAAAATGCAAACCCTAGAGTTCACCATTCATATGGTAACTCATAAAGTTAACACTTGAATACAATCCTTTGTTAGAAAGCAAGCGTGGTTGACAAGACCAAAATAATAAAAATAGAATATTTGAATACCTGATATGACCGCGTTGACAAAAAATATCAACCAAATGGGAACTTCGATTCAAACTACTCCCCAAATTTTAAAGTTAATTATTCAATGCTTAAACTCTGATGAAATTTAAAATATTCAACATGTGTCAAAAAAAATTTAAAAAAAAAAGACAATCTACTGTTTATAACTAGAAGTAAAATACAGCAATCCACCATAAC